TAAATAGTTTACCACTAACTCTATACAAAAGCATAGTATTAATAATATGCCAAAGTATTAGAGAACTAAATTTAGAGTATTAAAGAATAAATTCTATATTGTGTTTGTATATAGTATATAGTATATTGTGTGGATAACAGAATTGGCCAGACTTTGTAAGACTGCTTAAATTCATTTTTAAAAATATCATTTATAAAACATGTTATAAAGTTAAAGCTCTGTTTATCAGACATCACTCGAAGAATTTAATCTTTGAAAATATTTTGGAAATTTTAATATATAAGTTAATTATGTGTTTAAAAGTATTAGATTATAAATGTTATAAATCTAAAGCAAATGCTTGCAATAAATCACAAACTCTTATATAATAAAATATAAAATACCATGTATCATATATTGATGCCCATTGAATGACATGGCCCAAAATATCTACGAGATTTAACTATTTGGGTGAGTATTGCGTTGGAATCCCAATGGATTCAGACAAAATAGTTATGGCGTTTTGTTATATGACATAGTTTTAATTTTATGTCATAATATTTTTAAATTAAATTTTAGCAGGGTGACAAAATGTGGTCAAATTCTGTTATTCACACAATATTTATACAATTCTCATTATATAATTATTAAACAATAATTAAATTTCACAATTCATAATTTAATTAATAATAACAATTACTCTGATATTTGACCAGAAATACAAACACAAGAATTGGGAAGAAATAATGGAATTGAAGAAAATATCGACATTTTATTTAGTGATTTTAATCTGTTATCTGTCTCTCATAATAATGAGTGCGGCGCCGATCGGTTGCAACAACTATGACATGAAAAAACCACCAAGGTTTGGCAAACGCTCCAGTATTATAGCCGGCTATGAATCGGCCACTCCTTGTCTGACGGGACCCATGAGAAGGATGTCTTTGAGGCGAAGCTCTAACGATGTCTTAGATGTCTATCCATTGCTTAATTACATTCGGATGAGACAACGACTCCTGGACTCCGATTAAGGATTTCACGAGTTTTGGATTTTTTTTGTTTTTTAAAATACTTTTTATTTCTTATATTTTAAATATTATATTTAATTTAAATTTATTTATTAATGAACTTTTAATTCATTGTTAAACCATAGCGTACAATAAAAGCATGCATTTATTTCGGAGATGTGATTAAAACATAAGATTAGATGTTATTATTATAAATAATTAATATAATTAATTGAATAAAATTAACTAAATATTTATGTAAAGTATATTATGCAGTATGTTATGCAGTACTAGTATGTATACATTCAATGTGTATTGCTATTAATAATCACTTATTTCCAATAAAATGTTTTATTTAACGAAATTAATACAATGCTTTATTTTAATTTTAAATAAATCAGTTGAATTAAATTATAGATAAATGAAAACAACAAAAAATGGACATTTCCTTTACTAAATGCATCAAATAGTTTGTGAAAAAATGGATTTAATTGAATATGTGTTGTCTTATCTGCAAAAATGAGTTAACGTTTATTAAGGATGTCATGAATTTCAAGATCACATTAATATTCTGTATTTAAATTTCTCGGTCATCGCTAGAGATCTCTAATTTTATATAATCTCAATGATTTGCCCACATTTTATTAAACTTAAATTCAGTTATTTTATGTTACACTGTATATCATTTACTAAAATCATATATCAATTATAATAAAAATTTATAAATACTGTACTAACTTATAAATTAAAGTCAACCAGAATTTAAATATATTTTCTTTAAAATATTTTAGCATTGATTATTTATTTTGTATATTCGGCCGATATTTAAACTATATCTGATATTAGGTATGAGTTTTTCATACTTTGCTATTTTATTACATAATACAGTTTAATTAATTAATAACTACTAACAGGAGTTTTTATTGAATTAATTATTTTAATTTTTTTTATGAAACAAACCGACACCACTGTAGTTGTGATTGACGTATGAATTACTGATTTTTACTATATATTTAATAGCCTTATATGTGATTCCGCCACTGATTTCAATTGTATTTAAATTCAAATGAAATCATTTCACTTATATTCAAGTCATATAACATGACTGATAATAATTAAATATTATTTAAATAAAGTTATGAGTTGTGTAGTGTATTAGAAAAGCCATTATATTTGTAATAATGCTTTATATAACTACATAATAAAATGATTAGAATATTTATTATTAATGTCGTGATATTAGCCATTAATTTATTAGGAATATATTAATTATTTTTAAATTTATTGAATTAAAATTTATTGTCAAATACTGTTATTTTTGTAACATTTTTATAAGTGTTATTATAAAATGTGTTTTTAAGTTAATATTTAAATTAAAAGTATTTAAACGTAAGAATTTAAACAATAAGTGAGTATTAATAAATAGATATTCTTTGTGTTATTTAAAGTAACTAAAATTTTAATTTATTTATACAAATAACATATATATTCTTAAATCAATTGAATATAACATCGGAAAGACATTTCCGCTTGAAATCGTGAAATCTGATGATTGATTCAAAAATATTTAACAATAATTTATGTCTTTTGCTTTAATTGCTGGAAAATAATGCTTTTAAGTCACGTATGATAAGCACTATTTGCACTCGTATTTGCTTTAAATATGTTTTTTTTCACAACAAAAGTGTTTAATAAAGACATCGTATTATCAGTAGTGATGAACTAATTTGATTGAAAATAGACACAAAAGAATTGGTAAACATATTAAAAATGTTTATTAATGATAAGAAAGTATTAATTATGAGCTAAACCTTGGCTATACATTAATAGCCACGTGGGCTAAAACATGTTTATTGGCAAAAACTAACTTGGTAATATTCATGTAATTTTTTAAAAAATTACAAGAATTTCAATACCGATAAACAGGTCGTCAATTATGCGTGAATTCAATGAAACGGTAGTTTGAAAATGGGTTTACATTTCGGAGAAAGTAATGTCTGAAACGAAAGGGAAAAATATTGTATGACTTATACGAAGAACAGCACGAATTGGTAGACAAGGAGTTCAGTCACACGGGGTTTGCATTCAAACCAATGTTTTTTATCTCAATTTACGAGTAGTTTTTTGTTTAGCAAACAACTGATTGTTTGCTACGAAAATAATATGTTTGTCTTTGTATACCAGTTGTCAGACTTATATATGCGATAATTATTGAGAGCACCGGCAGGTAATTACTTTATTACTCCTTTCGTAAGTTTACTTTTGCTAAACTATTTTTAATATACCTTTGAATGACATTTCAATTTGTAAATAATTAACATTTTCGCTATCACTTCGGTGAGAGATGTATTGTCTATAATCTAGTCTATAATAATGTGCTGTTTCTATGGTTTGAAATAAAGTAAATGAGAAATAAGTTGTACTTTTCGTTTACCTATTTATAAATCATTTAATTTATTTACTTTTATGTATAAATAAACATTTTATTCGATAAACAATTTGACATAGAATTACAGTACAGTATATACGAAAAATAACCCTTTTTTATCATAAAAATATGTATCAAACTTAATATGTGATAAAATAATACATTTTTATTCAAATAATTGCTACAAATATCAGAATAATATGATTATTCTTTAAGCAACAAATGTTTGATATTTGTAAAAATAGTACAATTCTTATCAATAATTGTTTTATAGATTTAATTATAATTCGATACAATTATTATATCTAACAATTTTCATGTATTAAAAGCTTGTAAAACAAACTTTGTTTTATCGTCAATAGGATTGAAATGTTGTTCACTTCAGTGGTTATATGTTTCCTATTGTTTGATCACCAAAATAGTGTCTATTCTTATAATAGACAAAACCATAGACGTCGGGCTCCGTATGAATTGGCCGGTAATGACATTGTATGCAATGAAGGGGGTGTTTGCGACCGCAACCCCCGCCACTCTCGGGCTAACTCTGACCGACAATACGCTCTCCAATACCGAAGACAACCGCAAACTCAGCCGCAGATTGACTGCGACGGCGACGACGACAACGATAACTGCCAACCAATTGAGTCTCAAAGCAAACCACAACCACAACAACCGCCACAACAACTGCCAAACGACTGCCACAATCAACTCGATTGCAAACCAAATCACAGCCGAAGATCTCATAGACAACGACACAATCAGCGAGAGATTCAGCCGCAAACCACTCCAGAGATTGTGCCAATGAATGCGCTGCAGAGCTGGAGATGTGAGTTCAGTGCCAACGACTGCGGTATCCAAAACCAGCACAATATGTTGTCCTACTTTAAGCTGATCCCCGACTCAATGGGTCCGGTGTTCGGTAAGTCGGGTGTCCTGTACCTGGACTTAGCGACCGCTCGATCGGCCGGCGCTCGACTCATCACACCCTACTTCCCGGCCAATGGATGTCGCTATGGATGCCTTACCATAGAGTACATGCTGTGCGGCAATGGCATCGACAGCCTGTATCTCATACAACAAGATGTCAGGAATTACTGCGTTTGGCAGAAGAGCGACGACCGGTCCTATCGGTGGTCGACCGCCAGTCTGACCGTCGACTTGAGTCGAAGCGATCCGCGATTCTTCATTGAACTCCGCTTTAATCCCAACGCCGGCGCCAATGGTTTCGCCGCCATCTCTCACATGGCCTTCAAGTACGGAGAGTGCGATCAAAACGATGCAAATGAATGCGATTTAAACCAATTTATCGGAACTTTACTATAATTTGTGCCATTATTTTGTTTGAATTATATATTTTAGCCTAAGCTAACTGACCAACACTACCCCACACTCGCTCTCTCTCTCTCTCTATTACTCTTTAACTAATAGTACTGTAACCCAAGTATTGGTATATATTTTTATATGAGATTAGATTTATTTTTTGTCACTTTAATAACTTTATATGAATTATAGTTTTTTAAAACTATTATATTCTCTGTTTTTTATTTTATATTTTATTATTATTTGCCTTTTATTTCAATTTAATAATGCGTTAGAGATGCAGACTATGATAGATATATAATTTTATTATGCTATAAAAATTATATCACTTATAATGTGAGTTAAAATAAATCTAATTTTAAAAGTATTGTTTTATTTTACAGATAAATTTAGTCAAATAAAATAAATTTTAATTTCTTATAAAATTATTTATAAAGTGTATAAATGAGTGTTGAATAAGAGATAAAACGACATTTGCTGTAAGACATGGAGTGGGACAACATTTTTGGACAGTTATTCATAAGTTATTCAATGATATTTCAGGTACTGATAAGTATATAAACATTTTGTTGAACCTCTCTCTTAGAGATCGATAACATTTTAGTTTTAACAAATTGTAACGCAATCTATAATATAAGCCATAGATATTGATATCACAATAAATATATGACAAAACGCCGGTTATTAATAATTATAACAAATTATGATTCATTTTCGTAATAAAATTACCACATAATTAAATAAGGGATTAAATGTAAATATATCTATCAAGATGTTAATTAATAGCATAGTGTATGGCATGAGAGGAAATCCTAAAAAACTACCTGTTTTTCACACGTAAGCAATGGTTGAGTAAAACTAGTATTTTATTTGATTTTACTATCGATTAAAAGAGTAAACACAGAAAATGCATAAATTCTTGTCTTTTTTGCAGTTATGACAGCATTTTTGTGATGAATTTGTGTTCATTCACTGCAATAATAGATATGTTTTCATAAATATTTTCTTTATTATATTGTTTTCAATTCCTAAAGAAATTTAAATAATATTCAGTTAAATATATCATTTGACAAATAAGTGTTTAGAAGTGTGCCTTAAAATCACAAACCATTAACAATGAATTCATTAATGTTATATTTATTGGTATTAATTGCAATATCAGTTGAGACTCAATCGGTTGGACGGCAGGTGTCATCACGCGATTGGCCGGAAGACGGCCCGGAATACGAGATCATAAATCCAGACAAACCCGAAACACCTGTCAAGCCGTCCACACCTGTCAAACCTGTCAGACCTGTGCGACCAACGGCCAGACCGGACCGATCGCCCGGCGCTGACTGGAGCTGTGAGTTTGATCGTAACGACTGCGGTGTCATCAATGACCAGATCGTTGGCAACTATTTTAAACTCAGATCAAACCAAATGAGACCACTATTAGGACAAACCAATTACCTGTGGCTTAACATAACAGACACGACGTCGATGTCGAGTGGCGCCCGACTCATCACACCTTACTTTCCGACCAAAAATTATCCTAAAGGTATCACTCGTTTTGCTGATAATATATTCAATTATTTGGTATAACATAATATGAAAATATTTTTAAATGTTTGTGTTTGAATTGAAAGGCTGTCTAAGCATTGATTACATGATGAGAGGGAATGGCATGAAAGAGATGATAGTCTATCAACAGGAGGGAGAGAATCGATGCCTTTGGAGCTATAGCTCACACGAGACGAGTGGTGACAGCATTGGGACGACAACTGAAATGTGGCACAAGTTGTCGCTCGGCGTCGATCTGACGGCCGGTTCGCCGCGTTTTTTCGTTGAAACCCATTTTGATAACAGACCACCAAATGTGGGTTCGCTCGCTATCTCTCGCATTCAATTCACTTGTAATGAATGCCAACAAAACTCTGCCAATAATTGCGGACATAAGCCGGTAGTCAACGATGAATCGGACAGTAGTACTGATGATTATCAAAATGATTTTCCGTAAACTTTTTAACTTTCATACATTTCATTGTAATGTTAATAATGTTTTAATTGAAAGAAATATTTTTAAATAATAATGTTTTTTAAGTATTTATTGTAATAGAAGTGCTTTTATTTGAAAGGATTTATTCATTCATTTGTTAACATTTAAACCGAAAGTAGTATTAATATTAGTAACTAAATCATTGATATGAAAGGGATTAGACATTATGTAATGTTTTAAATAAATTCAAATTAGTTGAAAAGTGATATTCAAATAAAGCTTTAAATATCAAATACTATACTTGAAGTTAATTGAAGTCGAAATTATAAAAAGCTTTAAATAGATAATAAATATGATTTTTAACTAGATTTGTACTTTTATAATAAATGTAATTATTATAATACTGTATTTACGCTCCGATTCTTTGAAAGCATTTTGAATAATAAGTTTCATATTAAGTCATATGATGTGTAGATTTTAATAAGAAAAATAAAATTACTCTACAATTTGTAGACTACAAGTACAGTATTATATAAAATCTAATAAATAACTTTATACTTATTGTAATATTATTAATAACTTCTCAAAAAACTGTTTAATATCTGTATATTCTGTGAAATAATGCAAAATTACTTTAAATTAACAATATCATTTACAGATTTTACAAATTTTACACAGTATTAAAAGTAACTTTTCCTATAACTTCTCATTAATACTAAAAATCCACATTTAATTTAAAAATTCTGTTGAAAATTTAGTATTTTATAATTTTGATTACAATTTTAATTGTAATTATATATTTATTATATTACACATTTGATACTTTATTTAAATCCTATTATAAAATAACAAAGATTTACATATTTAGGAAATATGTTGACTTTTGCGTTGGTTTCAACATTTTTAAAATTTCATTTAAAATTTCATTTATAACATAAAAGGGATGATTCACATATTATGTTTTACGTTTTAAGAAATCTAAACCCCTTCCCCTTTGTTTGCATGTAGTCATAAAAATACATTCGCATGTTTCGTTTACCCCCTTCCACCTCTAAATAATAAAATCAAGTGTCACTAAAATGATAAATAATTTAATTAAAATTAAACCAATTGTTTAAATAATGTATTATAAAGATAAAATTGGCTGAATTGTGGTTAAAAATTTACTTATTGTATTAATCTCCTAAATTATTTTAATGCAAACTTTAATAAGGTCTCTATACCCCCTCCCCTTCATTCGCATTGGCCAACACCCTCTCCCACCAGTGCGAGCGTACTTTGTGAACCACACAAAAATATATTCTTTGACAAACGAGTGCTATAATATTTATTAAAATTAATGTCTAAAAATTTTAAGACCAAAATCAAACAAAATTGTTTTGCAAAACAATAAATTTTTGTGTTTTATTTTAATAATTAATTATTTTTATCCCACTTTTATACATAACTACAATTCATCTAATGCTTGATTTAGGAGGTAATCTTTTTTTGTGAAAAGAATTAACAGAATTTATTTTAAAAATTATTATTTTAAGCATTTTATCAGAATTTTGCCAAATATTAATCGATATAAAAACACAACAAATGTTTTTTCTCACAATTTTAAACGAAATTATAATTTATTTTTAGAAATAATTCTTTGAAATCTTTTGCATTTTTCTAGTGATTAGACTAATAACGAGAGCATTGAATCGTTAAGGTTTTATTGTTTTATGTAAAGTAATGCAAATTTAATTTATTAAAAATTTGTCAGCATTTTATTTACGGTATAAACTATTTTATAAATTTTCATGAAATCATATTTACATCTAATGCCAAATATTGAATAACATTACAACAAATGAAACTAATTTACAAGATCTGTGCCTTATCTCTACGGTTACATCATATAAAATATATACAATACTGTAAAATGTAATTAAATAAATTCATTAAATGCATTATAATTGAGAAACATATCAATTAACATAACAAATATTTAGATGCAATTTGACTCAACTCATAAGCTTTTATAATCACCGGTTGTTTCGTAAGAGCACTTCATTTAGCATTAATTACAATTTATTTCAATTATAAAACAATTGTATTGGAAATTATAAAAATATAAAACAAAACCTTTGTTTGCGTTTATGATTGAAAAATAATTGTTTTGGGAATAATTAGTTGCAATATTACTTGAAGTAAACGGACAACTGGATTGATTGGTTCATTGTTTAATCCAATAATGTGCTCATTAGTGAACATAATTTCTTATATCAGATCTCAAATAATAGGTTGACATTAAACGTGTGATCGACTAAAAGATAGGCCACGACTGTTGACACGACTGCCAAATATAAAATCAACGCTTCACTCAATTATTTCCAATACAATAGGCATTAAACGAGTTTAGTATTGATTAGTTTGGTTCATGTCATTACAGAATACGTGTATTTTCTAACCATTTCTTATATTTTTAACACATTTTCAAATCTGAATATTCTGTTGAGTAAAGAAATATGAATTTCATGTAGTCTAAGACAGAATGAATAATCTTTACATTTTTTAAAATGAGATTTTTTACAATTTAACGTAAATATAATACAAAGCACTTTAATAATGTGTTCACGAGAGTAAGAAAATAGAGTTAAAATTTAATTATATATAAATTTACAGAATTATATCTCAAGAATAATAAACTGTCGGTTATATCATTTTGTTTCAAAACTACTCAACAGATATAATTAGATATTGTATACAAATTAATCCAAAATGGTGAATTCAATATTTATAAATTTAATTAACTTTAAACCTGAAGGCAATATACTGTATATTTTAAACTTAATTTCCAAATATTCTCACAAATACAGTGTAATGTTTTAGTCATAAACTAAATGCAATGAATTGATGAATACAGACACAGACTAATGGATATATTTTAAGCAAATGTTTAGTCAACACCAAAAGTGTTATCTTCTTAATGGTAATGTAAGAAACACTTTGTATGACATTTTTATCATTAGAGACAACGAGAAAACAATTATATAATGCATTATTGATAAGAGATGTCATCGATTCATACAAATAATATTTACATAATTATATTAAACATAAAATATATTAAAATAAATGTTCATTAAAGTCAAACAAAAATCAACATAAAAGAAAGTTATGAAATATAATTAAAGATTTTATCAAGTTAAAATATTATATAATATTTTATTGGATTTATAAATAGTTTATTTATAATAACATCTGCTCATCTTTCTCCATAGAAAATAATGTTTTGAAAAAATTAAAGTAAAATGAATTATATAATTTATACAATATAACATTACAGTATAATAACATAACATTTAATTTAATAAATGATAACAATTAGAGTTATGCCGCATAACTTATGCACAAAATTATCATTACAAATAGAATTAATATTTATTATAATGTCTGTATAAATATACTTGATTAAAATAAGTATAGTTTATAATTGAAAACATGTGTCTAATAAGAATTAACAGAATATAATAAATTCTGTGAAACATAATTGACTTTTAAGATGTGATGACATTTATGCCGGAAGATTGCATTGAAAAGAGGTGTCAAACACACGACTAGTGTTTGATTTAATTTAAATCATTTAAATATCAAAAGATGTTTTGACAGAAATCTCCGACAAAAAAGTCAATACCATTGATATTAAATTCTTAAAGCTTTTTAACGATTGAATTCTTCGAGAATTAAATCGATACTCAAATAGAAAACATATTTTCAATTATATTATTTGCATAATAACTGTATTATCGATGATAATAAAAGCGGTGTTTGTTTTGATAGCGAATAGAAAGTGATAATCAGTGAAGTGATGGCAATTGGAGGACACAATCCATGTGATGGTTGAGTGCGTGAGTTTTGGAGTCAAATATTGGTTTCAAACCATAATCTGTAGACTCGTTGTGAGTGACGAAAGAGATTCACAGATTGAGTGCCGTATTATTGGGATTGCATTTCAATTGCCGTCATTTGATCGCAAATGACATTCACTGACAGCTATTGCTTTGAGAATTAGTTTTTGGCTATTTTCTCACATTTAATAACAAAATCCATTAAAATCTGAATCTAAGCAACTATTCTCTATAATAAAAATCTCATTTTTTATAACAAACTGTTTTCTATATTTTTATTAAATTCTTTTGTAATTATTGAGTTATTATAGAGTTATTAATAATTAACGAGAAATTTATTAATTACTGGTACTCTATTTTTATTTGACACATTTATAGTTCTTAGTTCGTAAAGTAATAAATTAATTATTAATTAATAAATTACCTTTTTATTTGTTTATATTCTGTTTGATGTACTTGGTGAATTAAATATAATACTTACATACCGTGCATTAAATATATAGAGATATATGATATGAAAGAGTTTGAAATATTTGTGTGTATGAAAGAGAAAGAAAAAAAGAAAGAGAGAGAGAGAGAGAGAGAGAGAGAGTATTAATAATAGATTTTATTGACATTTTGTAATCACAAGATTGAGATATGAAAAAGAAAATATTTTTAAAATATTTGTTTAGGTCATGACATTATTTAATTTTTGATGATTCAATTAAAAGTGAATTTCTTTTATTTACAGATCTGATCGCAAAACTATTTATAACTCGTTTTGTTAAATAACTCAACGATCGGATGATATTTCATATTATATTATGATTGAAGAATTAATATTTCATTTACTGTCTCGACGACTACAGTATATAAATTTACAATTAGTGTTGCCAAGTCATTTTCGCATATTCATTAATAAATTCAATTTTCTGGGAGATTCCTTGAGATTTTGCAAAGTATTTCTTGACCTGTCCTTGAGTTGGCAAATTAGTCCAAAGTAGTCATTTACATATGTACTAGATGAGAAGACCGAAGTTACTTGTAAATATATGCAATTTTCAGCAATATTTACCTTAATAACTCTACTCATTGTAATGCTCGATAAATTAATTATAAGATAATAAAAAACAAATTATAAGTTGAAAAATGGTAGAA